CAATCATTATCATTGTTTGATTTGACTACAGTGACTTTGTGTGACAAACTGCACAAATTTACAAAATTTTAAAAACATATACATACAATGATAAACACTAGTAGAGCCCAACTGATTTATCAAATATTATTGGCAGATATGAGCTAATTGCAGATAAATCGGTATCTGCATTGTTTACTTTTAAGAATTGCTGGTGAACATAGTGGAGCCTTTAGCTTGGAATCGTAAAAGAAAGAGAAGCCACAGTGAAGGGATTTGCCCTTAATTGACCCTCTCTTAGTTACTGTTGCTAAGTTCGACAAACTGTCGGACCTGTCGAATTTATCACGGCGCTGCCACTGTCTGTAACTGCAATAAATTCTGTAAATTTTTAGAAAAATGAATAAAGCGATCTCAGAAAGGGGACAGAAATGCTTGCATTATACATTTGAAGGTTGTATTCAGGCTGTTAAACTGATGTGAAACATATAAAGACAGAAGCAAAATCACAGAGAAAAAGGGAACCACCGCATCACCTGGCGACTGAGACAAAGCTGTGCTCTCAAACTAAAGAGTACAAACGTTCATCCCAAGTGCTGTCAGTCCAAATAATAAAATCGAGAAGCTACGTCTTAACGTCCTAACTGGACTTTTCCAACCTTAATAAATACTATTTTGCTGCATTGATGAGTGAGTGTGTGGTCCCGGAGGGAGTGTGTGTTTCATTGGCAGATGTCCACACAGCCCTAAAAGCCCCATGGCCTTGGGGCTCCTTTTATGGAGCATGAAGGGGAAGAAAGAGAGAGAGATGCATTGTAGTGAAGGACAGATAAAGAGAGTGTCCCACAGTTTAATTGTGAATTTAGACCTTTCCTGCTGCTGTCTTTAAGTGCCCTTGAGCAGCTTCAACTTCAGAGCAGAAAATAAAGAGTTAAGGACAGATTGCAGCTTCTTAAGATGAAGCAGCCGCTTTGAAGCAATGCACTATGTTTGTGGGTTATACCGCCGGTCAAATAGCCGTTATTTGATGACACCAAAATCATCAATCTGTGGCTCTGTAGTAGGTAACATACGGTACTGTGCTATGCTACTTATGCAGGTGTGGAAAAAGTAAGAATGCTTTCAAAAATAGACATGTAAATAGATTATATTTATCAGTTGACCAAATGCTAAGTAAGTGAACATAAAAAGACACTACAAATCAGTCATTATTTGGTGTGACTACCCTTTGTCTCAACACACCATCAATTTTGTAGGCCTTTTCATCAGGTGCATGATTAAACAATTATACCAAACAGGTGGTCAGCTGGGATTGGCTGCCACCCGCGACCCTGTACGCAGGATAAGCGGTTGACGGTGGATGGATGGATGGATGGATGGATGGACCAAACAGGTGCTCATAATCACACAGTAAGTGGAAAAACAATCATTAACTGAAACAGAAACAGCTGTGTAGGAGGAATACAATTGGGAATGGCCAAACTCAGCTAACAAGGCGAGGTTGCTGAAGACAGTTTACTGTCAAAAGTCATACACCATGGCAAGACATTTCAAGGGAGACGGGGGTTTCTGGATGTGCTGCCCAAGTTCTTTTTAAGAAATACAAAGAAATGGGCAACACTGAGGACCCAGAATTGGAAGAGGTCCAGCAGTGCCATCGGCTCAGAACTGGCAGAAAACAGCGATCTACTGTCCAGAGAAGTCTGGTCAGAAGTGGCCTTCATTGAAGACTTGCCTACCTCTGCCATGAAAACAAGGCCAAGAGACTTAATGATGCACAGAAACACAGGACCTGGGGTGCAGAAAATGGCAGCAGGTGCTCTGGAGTCAAAATTTGATAGATCTGGCTGTAACAGAAGGCAGTTTGTTCACTGAACGGCTTGGGAGCAGTACAAGAATGAAGGGTCTGCAGGCAACAGTGAAGCATGGTGGAGGTTCCTTGCAAGTTTGGGGAAAAAGATTTGGGGATTTGGTTGGATTTAATGCTGACAAGTACAGACACATACTTATTCATCATGTAATACTATCAGGGAGGCATCTGTTTGGCCCCACATTTATTCTGCAGCATCACAATGACCTTAAACATACAGCCAAAGTCATTAAAAACTGTCTTCATTGTAAAGAAGAACAAGGAGTCCTGGAAGTGATGGTATGGCCCCCACAGAGCTCTGAGTCTGTCTGATATTACATGAAGAGAGAGAAGCGACCTGGTGCGGCCAGAACAGTCTGGAGCTCAACGCTCTGAAGACAGTGGAGATGGTCGTGGACTTCAGGAAGAGCCCAGCCCCACCCTCCCCCATCATCCTGTGTGACTCCCCAGTCACCACTGTGGACTCTGAACATCACCTCCCTCACCAAGAAGGCCCAGCAGAGGATGTACTTCCTGCGGCAGCTCAAGAAGTTCGTCCGGGCCACGCTGCTTACCTGTGCATTTACATGATGGCCACCTCACTGCTGCTGGTCACACACGCATGGCACTTCACAGAGATAAGCTGGATAAAAAGAATAAATAAAGCGAGAATAACAACAAGAAAATAAGCAGGCGGCTCAGATAAAAACAGGATATGCTTTCTGATAAAAGTGCGTTATTAGAACAGACTTAAAAGACACTGATGCGTGCTCAGCCCTCTCCCGAACTCCCTGCTCACGCACAACTGTGTGGTCACCCACAGCTCCAATACCATGATTAAGTGGTGTGGCTGTTATCGGCCTGCTCACTGATGACAATTAGATGGCCGATAGAGAGTAGGTCAGAGACCTGACATCTGTGTGCCAGGACAACTTCCATCTCAACATCAGAAAAACAAAGAAGCTGATTATGGACTAGTACAAGTGACAGGGAGAAGGACACGCCCCCATCCCCATCAATGGGTCTATTATAAAGACAGCGAGACAACGGATCTTCATCCTCGGCAGGCTGAGGAGGCTGAACATGGACTCAAGATACTCTGCTGCATCTCAGGTGCATCACTGAGACCATCCTGGCTAGCTGAATTACCGCCTGGTATAGCAATTACACCGCCCTCAACCGAAAGGCATTACAGAGGGTGGTGAACTGCACAGCAAATCACCATGATGAAGATGCCATCCATGAAAGAGCTCTACACCCACCAGAGCAGGGGGCACAACAGTTTCCAGTCCTGTAACACCACGGTCAGGGACAGCTTCATCCCGCAGGCCATAAGACTCTTGAACTCTTCTGCTTTCAAACTCAACCTAGTTACAAAAATAAAGCCTTTGGTCTCCAATTCATTTAGCTGATTCCATTTATTACTGAAACATATTAATTTGCAAAGAACACTCCTCTTTGTACACGCTAGTGTATTATAAAACAAAAAGATAAAAGATTGATGAAAGCGGATCATGTTTATTGGGATATAGCCTCAACAGATAAAGTAGTGAAAAGTAAAATGATATTAATAATAATGATAGATATTAAAATAATAAAATATAAGAAAAATAAAGACTTATTTAATATCTGATGTGATATGATCTGATATGATATATGTAATGTTGTTTTTATTTGGTATATAAAATGTGAGAGTGCTAAAATGCAACTCTCTCATCCTGTTTAGTTGCTCCAAGCACATTTAATTGTCCAATAACAGACTGCACTAAAAATCTAGGGAAGTGTGGAACAACAGCTGCTATCCTGGCCACACAGACCATCTCTGCCCAGTATTATACAGACATTGTGGAATAAACATTCTGGATCACTGCTACATGCCATTCAAGAACAGCTACTGAGCACTACATTCGTGAAGAGCATCATGCGGCCATCTGGCTGCGGACCAAGTGTGAAAAATGGCTGCCTTGCCTGCCCCACTGTGACACGAATGGTCACAAAATGGTCAGGCCAATCAGAAGCCACCCTGCAGAGTGTTACAAAAGTTTCTCTTGTAGGCTTAGAGCCACTGGGTTATTAGATGTATTGACACATGAACCTACCAAGTCTCGACTGAATAACAAGGGTTCTTTCATGGTACAAGCCTGTAGAACCACCTCCAGCGCTCTGTATAGAGACATTTGTGTTAGAGAACCTTGGAAGTATCTTGACTGAATATTTTACAAGGTACAAGTACAAGGTACAAGGTTATTTATTAGTCATTTTGATACATAAATTAATTTTAGGTTCCTACAAAGTTTTGAAATACTTATGTGGGAATGGTTGTGGTGGTGTGTGTGTGTGTGTGTGTGTGTGTGTGTGTGTGTGTTGAGGGTGGGAGGGGCTAGACCATTGGGAAAAAGTGTAGTTGAAAAAAACTTGAATGGATCACATATCTGGGCACAGAACAGAGACAAGGGTACTCTGATGCTGGCAAGTCTAACTAATTCAGATTATCAAGATTCATTCACAAAACAAAATCACATGTAGAGTTTAAGATGAACCGATGTTTAACAGGAAAGGAAATATTTTCAGCTGCTAAAGGGAGACACTGCTCAACAGTATGATCTGTGTCTGCCATGAGAGCCATGTCACTAAAAATGTATTTTCAATCATAACTGGACAATACTTGAAGAACCCTACTTGGATAGCAGAGTCAAGCTTCACTTGTAATGTAATGAGAAGTTCCAATGTTGGTACCTACTTGTGTTAGATATGAAATAACATTTAATTATTAGGACAGTTTGATAACTGGATGATTAAAGAAAAAGAAAAATATATTAATGTAGACATCTACAGTAATATATTTTTCTTTTGTTAATAAGGGATCAAGGCTGTCTCAACAAAATGCAAGTTGGACATAAAAATCTTTCTGTTATTATCACCACCTTGACTTATTTTGAAAGGTGGAGACTAAAAATACCATTGCTTTGAATTAAATCTGGGAATAGTCAATATATTATGCTGATAAAATGTTAATTGTAATGCTTTCTTGCTAAAGAACATCTGGTGATTTTAGTCATGAATGGGATGTCGTCTTTGATTACACATCACGCAATCAAAGCTTAATTCAATCAATTCTTCCATATAATTGTAGGAATTCTCATGTAGTCTTGTTCTTCTTTTTCCTGCACAGGCCCAGGTTTTGATCCCATCTGCTTCTGATCTGTTTGTGATCCTGCTGAAATCCACCGGGATCCAGATGATGGAGCGCTTGCTGTGTCTGCTGGTCCTCAGCTCAGTGGCCCTGAAGGAGGCTCTCTGTAAGTTCTGCTTTAACTGAATCACACGCATATTCACACACACACATGCATGTCCACAGAGGTTTTCAGACTGATTGCAGAATCAGTGTTGGTGTTGATGATTAACATTAGAACTAGGTTAAACTCTGATTCTCCAGTTGGTGCCATTAAACCAAAAGGAAGAAGATGAGATGACATATTAAAAGAGTGCCAGTCAAATCTGGTGAATAACCGTTTCTGTTTATTTTATGTATTAATCAGAGGATGTTACAGTCTCCTCATCGGCTCCTTATGTACGTCGTGATTTTTTCGCTGTTACATTTTGTACTTTCGCTGTTACATTTTGTACTTTCTAAAATATTTATGGTGTTTGCATTCTTATTTTTCTAATTGAAAATAAGTGTAAAAACAGGTGGATGGATACACACTTATTGAATGAAATCCTAATGTTACTGTAAAGCAGCTGACAAATAGGGCTGGCCGGAATGTCATTTCCCCTCAGCGGTCACGTTATGCCGATTGCTTAGTCTTTTGATAAGCAGGTTGTCATTTCACGACAACATGTTATTATACAAAATTGCCTTTTAACTTTTATTATAGCCTACTAAATGATCTCCTTCTACAATGGGCCTAACATAATTATTTAATCTGTTCATTATGTTGTTTGTTTGTTGTAGCCTGAAGCAAACTGATTGATGGCATAACTGCCACACTGCCGTTGTCATCACCAAAGTTAAAGTGCTCCCACAAAGCTGAGGGCTTCATATTGTTTTCACTTTGATGTTAACTGGAATGTTACGTTCACTGCTGTGAGTGGAGCTCAGGCGTGTTCAGAATTGAAAGTTCAATGCGTACCCAACGATCGAATATTTGAATATTCGGTCCAGCCCTCGTGACAAATGCAAAACACTTCCTGACATTACTTTTCAGATGGTTTGATATCATCATTATCTCTTCTGCACAGCTTATTATAGTCATCCCTACTTTGTTGGCACAGCTTGTTGCACTTGTACAGTGTGAACTATGAATTTAACATTAGTGATAGACCAATTAATCTGGCCAATATCTGGCATTTTGAGATAATCAGCATCAGCTGGTACCTGCACTCATGAGGCTGATACATCATGCTTAATGACAGCATATCTAATCTAAAACTATTACTGGCTACCATTATATTGTTATACTGTTTAATTGTTATACCGTAGGGAATAATGCAGTTGAATGACACTGTACCACACTCTCCCTTAAACACCAGTCACATTCTGAAATCTACAGTATAACTCATACCCAAGGAGGTGTATTGAGTCAGGATGCTGTTTAATAAGTGAAAATATAAAGTTAACTATCAAAGAAATCACATAAAATAAAATATAGGGGACATCAGATTACTGCATACCATGTGAAAGATTTAATAACAATGACATTGATCTACTAATTTACAGTAATCCAATTATTAATGTACTCATTCATATTCAAAAACACACCTACATGTCATCAGAACTTTATTTAGCATGAAAATAACAAAAATAAATGACATTAACTTTAAGTCTGGCACTTGGTGGCCATGGTGATAAAGGTTATTACTAATAATCCAGGGTTTCACCTAATAATTTATTAGCCTGCTCACCACAGTAGTGCACTAAAGTAGACTGAACACACATAACTCCATACACCTCGTCTGCGGAGGTCTGAGCTCTACTGATCACATTTTCTAGTTTTCTATTTAGTCAAAATAGATTTTAAAATGACAACGAGAACAGGCTCTGTTGTAAAGTTGTTTACAATCTACAGTAGATAGGATATTTTCATTTTTTTATTTAATAACAAAGGCATCCTATTGAAACCATAATTTTGGTATCATGACAACACATCATGATTATCATTGCTATTATTGTTACAGGTTTTTAATATATTATTTATTTTATGTACGTCCACCTAACCATGGATGTTTTTTCATGCACCAAATTATTGACTGCAATGTAAGACTATATTCAATGAATACAAATCAGTGACAATGAGATGTAGTTTTATTGCCTAAACCTAACCAAACTTTCACAACGTTAACCACAAGTTTGACGTCACGCCTGTCTCTGTTTTAGGGAACATCATATAAGTTTGGGAGTCATTAGCAATCAGCCTAAATGTCGTTTAGGTGTGAAGACGTGTTGACATTTCTTGCTATTTGCTGCTGGTGCAGTGTTCATGCTGAGAAGTATTGTGGAATCATTAAGCTTTAAGTTTCCAAACAGTTACGTGGTCAGGTTTTACTCCTGCAGACAATAATGCTCTTTGCTTCAAAGAGAGACTGTAGCACCTGTCTTTAGTGACTTCACTTAAAGATGCTTGTCTTCCAGTAGACCTGCATTGAAAGCTATTTTAGCAGTACAATGTGATTCTATCTATAAATCCATTTAGAACCGCTGTATTGTTTTGTCCAAATCTCTGGTAACCTAAATGCTGTAAAGATATACATTTACCTACTTTTACTTTTACTTTTATTTATTTACATGCATGTTTTTTGCAATGGTAAATATACTGTACATTTTTAAATATACTTTTTTTTTAAGAAGAGAGAGCCTTCCTTCTTTATTTGATAGAAACACAGAGAACAGGAAACAGCACAAACATAGGCAAGATTGTTAAATCGTAGGTGTAAGCTTTTCAAAGTCAGAAATCAAGGATTAAGAAACTTCAATTAATAAGGCTAAAATATATTTAAAAAAAAGATCTAGGAAAAAGTCATGGCTGATAGGAATTACTGTATATGAGTCCACAATAGAAATGTCCAGCAGAGCTTGGTGTCGTATTATTGTGTTGTTGAAAATGTTGTTTCCAGGTGGAGACGTGTGTGTATCAGGTCATGACAGTGGGCCAGTGTTTGAAGAACAGCCAAGCAGTTTAATTTACCCAGAGGGCCTGAGTGAAGGCAAGGTGACCCTCAGCTGTCAGGCCAGAGCCAGCCCAGCTGCCTCTTACAGGTGGGTAAAACACACACACATCACCCCAACTAAGTATTAACTGCTGTACATGCTCATACTTTTCATGTTCATACTTTTCAGTTGGCCAACATTTCTAAAAATCCTTTTTTTGTATTGGTCTTAAGTAATATTCTAATTTTCAGAGATACTGAATGTGGGATTTTCATTAGTTGTCAGTTTTAATCATCACAATTAAATGAAATAAACATTTGAATTATATCAGTCTGTGTGTAATGAATGAATATAATATCCAAGTTTCACTTTTTGAATGGAATTACTGAAATAAATCAACTTTTTGATGATATTCTAATTATATGACCAGCACCTGTAATACTAAATACTCAAAAAAGTACACAAAAAATGACTTTGTTACAGTAATGAAAGTGTCAGGCTCAGCCTTTAATTTTGTAATGTCAGCCCTGTTTATTATGTCCTGTTTGCTGTGTTCTTATCAGATTGCCCTGCTCTTTGTCTTGCAGATGGCTTGTGAATGGCACAGAGGTCCCGCTGGGTTTGGACCTGCGCTACACCCTGGTGGCCGGCAACCTCGTGATCAGTAGCCCTGAGCCTATTCGAGACACAGGCTCTTATCAGTGTCTGGCCATCAACCGGTGTGGCACCATCATTAGCCGAGCTGCTAACCTCAAATTTGGCTGTGAGTGAAAAAAGGCCTTTTAGTCCTTTGCCCTGAGCCGCCTGAATGGCTCACTGTGGCAGAGATAAAAAGCATTAGATAATCAATAAAGATTCAGAAGTTTTACTTTACACTAACTCTCCCCAAATGTACTTTGTTTACAGTATTAACTGTGTATAATTGCTACTTCTGCAACGATCTGAATGTAACAGTTATCTTTTTTTCTGTTTCTTTGCATGCATCACCAGACCTCCATGACTTCCCTCCAGATAGCAGGAGTCCTCAGACAGCATATGAAGGCATAGGCACTTTCCTGGCCTGCCAGCCCCCTCCACATTACCCAGGTATCCACTCTACTTCAACAATCCTCTGCATCCTATGACTTTGCTGACTATTTCCATATTGAAGTGTGAACACCAGCAGGATGGCATTAAGTACAACCCTGTACTTTCTGACTGTATGACCAACTTTTCCCTTTTCCAGCTCTGTCCTACCGCTGGTTAATCAATGAATTTCCCAACTTCATCAAAAAGGACGACGGCCGCTGGTTTGTGTCGCAGGTAACAGGGAACTTGTACTTGGCCAAAGCAGAGCCAAATGATACCGGGAACTACTTCTGCTTCACCACCATCAACATGGAAATCAGCACCAAGAGCACTTTCAGCAAGGCCAACCAGCTCACGGTGCTTTCTGATGGTATGAATCTCTTGCAGATGCAAGACTGATCCACTAGCAGCCACATGTAGCTTCACCATGGAGGTTTGCAGAAACTCTGGCTGTGTAATTGTTGACTAAATATGAATAGAGGAAGATCTGAAAAGATTTTGGTTTGGTGGTTGTATTATTTAGTGGTTGTATTGATAATGCAAGTGAGTTATTTATCAACCTACTGGTTATTCAGCAGGCCTGGTTTTTGGAGTTAAAATGTTTTCGATGGTTTGGTTTTTCAAAGCTTTACTTTGCTGAATATATAAGACAATGTTAAATATGTCATACAAAATGTTATGTATTTCTAAAATATATATTTTATATATTATATATTTTAACTTAAATCACTTAAGTATATACTTCACAATTCAGTTATTACTCAACAACTATTGAGGTTTGATCCCCAGCCTTAATGGGTAACTTTGTTCTTTTTCAACCTGCCACCTTATTGTCCCCATGTTTTTGTGTCTATGTGACTAATTGCCACAACAGTTTTTGAAACTATTCCAGTGGGAGCAGGGGTGGGCATTTATGTTTGTGTACAGTAACCTTTGCAGACATAATTCTTAAATAATGACAACCTGTACTTCCCCTGTTGTATGTTTCATTATCACCTCAAAAGATTTAACTATTTTATCTTATGAACACAACAATGCCAAAATGGACTAGTAAAGGCTGTTCTCAATTATTCCTGAACATCTGAAAGTTTTAAGAGTTTTAGTGTTAACAAGACTTAATGTTTAGCCCTTCTACCAAACCCCAGCAATTACAGTGTTTATTCCACCCCACACTATGAAAATGCTGGATTGGTAGACCAAGATACTGACAATTAAGCTGTGGTTAGAGTCTTGCTAGGGCTGACTAGTGTTCAGATGGACAGGGTTCATAATCTGAAGCACATAATGTGTTCACAAGATTTCAAGAAACATGGTGAAATCACTAATGGCACGTTTAAACTAGATAAGAGGTGCACAATCTGAGGGGGATTTAATCTAAATATTAACTGTGTTTTATTTCAGCCAACCCCAGGAAGTCAGCTCCGAGCATTAAAGTGCGCTTCCCAGCAGAGACCTATGCCCTAGCAGGACACACCACTCAGTTAGAGTGCTTCGCCTATGGAAAGTAAGTTTCCAACTCTGAAATCATTGCACAATGTGCTATTTTGTTTTGTCTATCTTCCTCTCAGACTTCTTTAATTATACTTAATTGTACTATACTGTGCTGTTTAATTTCACATTCTCTTCCTTTACTTAAGCTTCAACTCATCTCGCTATTCTTTGTCTCATAGTCCAGTCCCAAAACTGCGATGGAGGAAGGTGGACGGTTTGATGCCGTCCAAGGCGGGCTTCAGTGCTAATGGTCCCACCCTTATCCTGCCAGATCTCTCCTTTGATGATGAGGGTGTTTACGAGTGTGAAGCCTACAACTCAGAAGGAAGTGACACTTACCAGGGACGCATCAATGTGCAAGGTGAAGGAAAATGTTTTCTGTGAACGTCTGTTTAAATTGTAGCAAATCACATATTTTATCAGGTTAGTGAGTAATGTTTTTACACCCCCTTTCACATTGGTTTGACGTCAATTTAACATGTCAGGCTCATGTCTGAATAATCATCCTGGTCAGCGGTCACTTCTACTTAAAAGTCACGATGGCAATCTTACTAGGCCAGATCTCGAAGCAGAGTAAAACAAATTTCACAGCTTTTCCATTTTCAATTTTCTCTGGTCATACAAAGCTCTTATGAGTATGTGAAAATGGAAATGCAAATTGTATAAATGCTTTTCTGAATGACAAAAAGCCATCACTTTAATAGATAGATGAAGACAGTATTGTAACATATTCCATGTCTGAAAATGTTTTGTTGCTTTTTTTCCCCCTTGTCTTTCTCCTTTAACCTTCAGCTCAGCCGGAGTGGTTGCAGGTGATGAGTGACTCAGAGGTAGAGATCAGTTCAGAGCTTCACTGGAGTTGTGTTGCTGCTGGTAAACCACGACCTTCCATACGCTGGCTACGCAATGGACAGCCACTCCGCACACAGGTAACACACAACAAATACACAATATGAGGCATCAATGAGTTTGTGGTGTACTTTAGAACAGCCACCATAATGTCTGCTTTAGACTACTGTTTAAAATTTGAACTGAAACAGACACATGAATGATTCATTTTACACCGCTGAGCTCTGTGTCACCTGCCTTGTGGTAACAGCACATGCTGTGAGTACTAAATGTGGGATGGATCACAGAGGATTATGTTTGCCTCTTTAAGTATACACTGTTCAAAGACAGACTGAAGGTTATGATGATCTTTCTGAGCAATGAGTTTCATCATAGTCTGAACCAAATGCGATACATTTTATTTTGATGTTACAGTAAGTTTCCCAAACCAACCTCATTCCCTACCCGATTGTTCTCTCCAAAACTAAGACAAATTAAAACTCTTTTTATTTTATTTTAAGTTTTTGTGGTGATTTGTGCACCAATCAGAAACTGCCTTATTACTGGATGCTAGATGTTTTTATCATCATGCCTATAAAGTAAATTTAACATATCAGAATGATCTGAGTATTTGACCGATCTATGTTATCCGAACTTGTGGTGGTTGGTTAACGTAATCATTTACGTTCCTCTGACTGCCATCAGCGTTAATTATTATCGTCGGCTGCAAACAGGTTACAGGTTTATTGTTGATCATGCAACATCACAGTTTTATTTAGTTAACGTTACACTTGGTTTGAGAGTCTGGGGAATGTGTTGACTTACAGTAGTTTATAAGCTGTCATTAATTGCATTGCACATAACATGGTTGTGCTCTGTGAAAAACAGGTTACAGTTACAGAATTCCTTAGCTATGCAGTTTTATAAGCAGACTGGATTGAACGCAGCAGGTGATACAACATTCATTAAAACCACAAGAGACTTGTGAGCATCTCTGATCTTGATGGACATGTAGCCAACCAAACCACTTCTCCAATAGCCCAGACGCACAATACAAAATGATTGTTCCTAAAGCAACTGTGAACATAATCTTTACAATGTAAAAAAAATATTGTCGCAATGACACAGGAGCAGCCCGTTGTTGAATAAAGTAGGTAAGCCCATATACAGAGGGGTACCTGTGCGTCACTCGTAAAGCCCAAAAGGTCAGTTTTATCCAGCCATATTTGCCGTCTCCTTCTGCTTCTAAAAAATGATGGAGTGCTGGACAGCTGGAGTGAAATCCAAGATCGGCAGATCTACAAGGGTAGATTTAATATGCACAACATAAGAGATAACTATACATATGCACAATACATCTATGCCATCGTCATTTCCCTTCACTCACGTCCTTTTCTCTCTCTTTTCCTGCCTCCCACATTCCCTTTCCCTCTGATCCCTCAGGACCGGTTAGAGGTGAACGGAGCTCGTCTTAAGATCAGTAACCTGGCCCTGGAGGATTCTGGGATGTACCAGTGTGTGGCAGAGAACAAACATGGCACCATCTACTCCACTGCTGAGCTCAGAGTCCAAGGTAGAAGTCCAAGGAGAACTGTCTTTAGTTTCCCTTATATGAACCAACATTCAACATATTGTTGATTTTTATGTATTTTCAAATTTGAAAAGATGTATTTTTTATTCCCAAACTTACATTTTACAATGAAGTCTCATGTTAAATCTAATAACACCATTAAAAAGTCAGACCAAATCAGTAAAGAACACAAGGTGTAGTAAGTTAATAATGTGCCACTCTCTTGCCCGTGTCAGTGTCTGTGCTGTAATTCTGACTCCATCCGGTCTTCTCTCCTTCCAGTTCAGGCTCCAGACTTCAGGTTAAATCCAGTAAGGAAACTAATCCCAGCAGCCAGAGGGGGGCAGGTAATGATCGAGTGTCGTCCTCGAGCTGCCCCAAAGCCCAGCCTGTTCTGGAGCCGTGGGACGGAGCTGCTCACCAACAGCAGCAGGTAGAATTGAGTCAGCTTGATTACCATTCATAGTGCAGTGCAGTTGCTTCTGGTCATTTTGATATGTTCATATCCCTCAGCTCCTTCATGTGGGTATTTAAGTGAGGAAGACTTGTAATTGGTCGATATGTTGCTAATTAAAAGGAGCTAAATAACATACAATATAGAATATACACAAAATAGAGAAAATAAAAAGTTGCAGTATAACATACAGCATAAAATTAACAGGATGCCAGAGTACGCATACTGGAAATTATAGATTGCTGTATCATATACTGGAGGGTAAGGCCATGTAACTCAGTGCTTTACTAAATGACAATGTGCTACACAAACTTCCGAGTCTGAAAAGTGCAGAAGTGCCTTAAACCCGTATTCTTTATAATGGCCAGCAGCGGGCGACTCCACTGGTTGCAAAAAGAAGTCCAATTGTATTGCAGTCAATGACAAAACTACTTCTCACTTGATTTATTATCTATCTTTAGTCTATTAGTTTCTTTAGATAGATATATTAAGAAATTATATTTACTTAATTATTCAGTAAAAACATATGTTATTGTGACTTGGCCACCGACAGATAACATGGAAAATGTAAGCCAAGAGTGTCACTGTTTCTGCACCACAGTCCATTATAAACCACACATTAGATAAAGTTTATACAAACATTGACAAGAGAAACATGTTAATTCTCTCTGTGATTATGGACCCTCGCCAAAACTGCCCGCCAACAATATCATCTGGCCCGCTGCCAAATTATGGTGCTTTCACCTGCAAAATAAAAGCGCAAGAGTGTTTTTTGCAGCTTTATTTTGAGTTTAGTTGAGAGCTTTTACTAAAAATTCTGAAGGACATTCAAAAGAGTTTGTAGCCTGCTCGACACACCTCTGAAAGAGCCAAAAGCGTGATTCCCCTAAATGTCCTCTGCCTGGAGATACTGGGGAAATGAAAAAGCGTCTACAGGTTGTGGATCAAACACCAGAACAGAACCTGTGCAGCACATGCTTTGTTGTGAGCATGTGAAACAGTCGCTTCATAATCAATTTGTTGAAGAGGGGGGAAAAAAATTCTCCCGACGTGGGATCAAACTTGCAACCTTCTAGGTGAGAGTCCTGCACTTTATCAACTGAGCTAACCAAACTCCGTATCATTTAATTTAAATTTTATGTCTTATATTCTCACCCATCATCTAATGGTTAAAAAATTGCTACGATGTAAAACATATTTGCAGAAACCAGTTGTAGATTATTACTTCTTCTTCTTCTTCTTCGAATTTACACATTGAACGTTATGAGCATCTACACTGCCAGAATTCTACAAAAAGAAGAACGTAGTGACGAAACGTGCTCTGTAGAGCAGTTTTTCAGTTTTGGGCCTGCTGTAGAAACATGGCGGTGCAACATGGCGACGTCCATGTAAGGCGGGACCCATACTTATGTAAATAGAAATGTCTCATTCTAAGGTAATAAAAATATAATGGTTTATTTTTTAAGGTCTTTATACACCACTGAAAACATAGTTATGGAGATTAGATTGCATTTCTGTCAATAGATCCTCAGAAATACTAAACACTGGACCTTTAACTACGAGCCATGAAATTTTTGGTCTAGTCGGTGTTTACTTTGGTACTCTCACAGTGTGTTTTCAGTTCATGAAAATTAATTGTAACATTTTGGTTGCCTAAAAATGTCTTGTTCAGCGTTCAGCTGTACTAAAAGACTCTTAAGGAGTCGGCTGTTCATTTGTTTAAGTAAGTACGTCTTGTTTTAAGCCTGTTCCTTTGATAATGATTATACCATGAACAACAAGAATTCTGCATTCTGATTGGCTGGAAGGTCTAGATTAACTTTAAGGAGCCGGACAGTATATCTGGACACCTATGATGTGCATGTTTGAATGCAAAATTTAAATGTTTATTTGTTCATTTAAAGGATCCCCATCAGCGAGGGCCTTAGCAATCAGATGATCTTCCTGGGGTCCACAGCTGACATACTACTTAACACAATAAATTGCATTAATAAAACCACCTCAATATATTGTACATTAATATACATTTTAAAAAAGAATGCATGTATACAATTTAAAACATATATAATACTGATATATGGAATACTGATTAGATAAATGAATGTGCCAGTATTAAACTCTAGGTAGAGATACCAACAGTGAGGCTTAGAGAGCAAGTGTTATTTATGTAACCAACGACAGCAACATGAACATTTGGATAAATAGTAATTAGTGAAAACCAAGCAAGTTAACTTTAAATAGGGTTTGGCGATATGTTAACATTTGGCCAACTAGCCCAACAACGGTATATTCATACAGATGTGTGTAATAGTTTTTAGCATTTTGCACATGAAGACAGGGTTGTGAAAGATAATCTTTGTAGAGATAGTCTCATAAAGCAGTTCATACAGTTTGCCCGACTTCTCTTAATATAAATCAAGATCCAGCTAAGGTGGAAACCTGAAGGCGTAAGTCCCAGACGCACACGCATTCACTGCTTCAGGTGCAAGTGACTAAGCTATGATGAGAATGTTTCTGACTGAATTACAGATTACTATTACATATGTCTGTAATTTACTCATGTAGCAGAAGACACGTAATTCTCTTGATAGTGAGGTTAATGCCTCAGTCTCACTCTACTTCAGGCAAACAATAAAAATCACACCTGTCTACTCTTCCGATTCAAGCAATCAACCAAAGCTACAATAAATGTCTGCAGGATGAGCAATCCCTCAGTTTCTGCAGCACCTGACAGGTGTACTCATGCATCACTATCTATCACTCGCTATTGAAAGATTTAGGAAACCCCAAGGCGCTCATTACTTCGAGGTGAGATCAAAAGTGACTTCCCACAGTGTGGTGTGTATGTATCAGAGGATTGCTGTTGATTTCATCAGATTTTGTCGCAGCTGCATGAAAAATCTGTAACCACCCCAGTATTTGTGTGCATCATATTGACTCAGCTGTGCATTCATCATTGTCTCTTTGCTCAGAAGTGTCATCTGTTTGACATCCTTTCACTCTTACATTGCTTGTTCAACTTAAGAGGCAATTACTCAGTTACCCATTTAGTTTAACTGTGTTTAGATTGATAGCGTCTAATGGACTAGCGCTCCATGCCATCCTCCTTTTGTCCACATCAGTCACGTTCAATCATTCAGTGCTGAAGCAGCAGCGTGGGTGCTAAGACGAGTAGCTGTTCATATCAGTCTGCAGCATGTTAGTGATACTTATATCCACTGTTTAAAGTTATGAGTGAATATGTGGTATGTACAGGAATCCATGTGTTCAGCCAGCCTGAGTCTTGCAGTCTATCATTCCTAGCTGTTCAGATAATTTACTCACCAAAGTCTTTGCTGAGATGTGAGTGACATAGCTTTACCACAAAATCCAAAAGGTAAAACACAGGTGACAGATCAGATTTTTTCTGAAATATCTAAGGCAGTTATTTGGCAGTGAAGCTGCATTCCGATTGACCACTGCCCTGTGAAACAGCAGGCGTGCACAGATGAACCAAAGTTACACTGCTACATCTAATCTAATCAAATCTATAAGATGTATTAAAGAGGCGTTGTTCCAACTTGAGCCCCCTTTTTCTTTGTTCCCTGCTGTAATCAGGTTTCTCTTGTAAACAAGATCTTCATATCAATGATATTACTTGATTAACTAAAGGTTATATATGATGCTCATCATTAGCTCCCTGTATGGAAGCATCTGCATCTGTTATATTTCTAAATTCTATTATTCAGCCTTTTCCTTTTGTTTATCACTCATCTGTACATGTAACCAACACCCTGTACTGTATGTCCAAGGCATTATATGTAAGCTGCCATACTTCTGCTACTCCTCTCACTGCGTGCAATACTGCGTTATTACACGGCGTCTGCTCTATGTGCTTCGCCACATCCCCAGATCTGATCAGTTAGGTTGGAGATTAAAATTGTTGTAAGTTGTTGTAAGCAGCTAAAATGATCACTTGTACAGCAGCAGTCTGTGGGTTAGAGCAGTGGGCGAGCCTGAAACCAGCAGACCAGCTGGGAATATGTAGGTGGGAAAGTGAATGAATAGCATTAAGCTTTCAGAGTGGGGTATCAAATGAATGTGCAGCAGGATGCAGCGTGGATGACTGTATAAAGGTTAAAGAATGAAGGGGGTAGAGGAGGACGCAGTGATGACAACATCTGTTCAACACACAATCCAATACTGTTGAACTTCCACAAATACTATCTTTGGATATCTATAATGTCCATCTTATGTGATTATATTATATAGTTTGTGATGTTGTGTAAGATTACCTGTGAGATGTTTCCAATATTTTGTCCACCCCCAAGAATGCGGGCACTGTTTACCGCCTGTGTGCTTGTGTGTTCTCAGAGTCACAGTAACTCCAGACGGCATCTTGTGGATCTACAACATCAGCAGGGCAGACGAAGGGAAATACACCTGCTTCGCTGAAAACTACCTGGGGAAAGCCAATAGCACCGGACATCTGTCTGTCAGAGGTATACACACACACACACACACACACACCAGAAAAACCCTTGTTTCTGGCTTGATATTAAATGGTGCAGACAAAAAAAAGGCACTCCACATAACATCGACGCTGCTCTCTCAAGACTGCTTAAATATCACACTACATGCAAAGCTTTGCCAAAATGTCTGCTGTGAAAAATGTCTGAAAGGTGTGAAAATTTGCCTCACTCACTTACAATCAGTACCATCAAGCTTTTCTTCCTCTTTTCATTTTTGTCTAAACCATGCAGATGCCACAAAGATCACGCTGGCTCCTTCGAACGCCGACATCAATCAGGGAGAGGATGTGACGCTGCAGTGTCACGCCTCCCACGACCCCACCATGGACCTGACCTTCACCTGGGCCCTCAACGGGGTCCTGCTGGACCTGGAGGACTCTGCTGGGCCATACCACCGGGTGGAGGGGGTGAGTTTTGCGATGCATGGTGGAGAGAAGTTGGTTGTGATTATACTTTGCGTGTAGTACTGCAGGGGGGCTAAAAATGTTTGTTCAGATTTGGGTGTGTGAGTTGGTGGTTTTCTGAGGCAGTGTAGGGGAAGCGGGGGGGATCATTAATAACTTAGGCTGTCATGCATTCTCATTAGTTCCATCTCGGCTTCAAAACATCAAACAACAAATACCATTAGCAGAATCCACCTCAGCTTTGACATGTTGTTAGTGTTAGTTATTCTCAAGAAAAGGCTGCAAAAACATCACTCCACCTTTGATCAAATGTTCTGCATCTGGCTTTACTGAAAAGGGTAAATGGGGAGTTTTTTTGTGATTCTATATTTTTATTTGCCTTATACCCTTTCCACATTACTCAAACAGGAGGAAATAGTTTATTTGTTGGCGACTGTTTTCAGTGGTTAATCCACGGGTGACGCTCTAGAGAGTAGTTGGGGCAGCAGGACGGTGTATGTGGGGTTCATTCAAAATAAACTACAGTGTTTGTGTTCATTATTATGAAGGAACATGTCACCCAGTGTAACAGTGTGGCTCACTGATATGACTTTGGACAACGGTGGAGCTCAGTGGCACAGAGGAAAATCATCAGACCTATGCTTAAAGGCTCAGCCTCTGACTGTCTACACTTCACACCATGTCCTAACAGCAAGCGAGTCTTATAATCGCTTGAATAATCATGTACTTGTTAAACACAAAACATGTTTTATATTGTGAAATGTATATGTTTCTTTACTGGAAATAACATACAAAATGGCCAACCGCAAGGAGGTTGTTTTTGCGATACTCATTTAGGTTACTGTAGTTAAATGAAGAGGTATCAGCGTAGAAAACTCCACATTTCAACTTCATTAATCAACAGTTCCCTGTTCACGATTCAGCGCTTTTAACATGGTCAACAAGAATAAGTATAAACAGGGGATCTGACTAAATTTCAGCTCAAAGTGGCGAGCCACACCCAGGTCATGCTGCGCAATGTCGCTCATAGCCAGTTAGGACAGTCCCATAGAAAACAATGCAATCAAATTTTGTGGTTGACTTTCGCTCACGTTGCATTTTATGATGAGTTTCTGAAGATTCTGCCACCTATTTAGTCTGTGATACTGATGATTCAGTTCACCTTGGATCTGCTGTTAAAGATTTGTTCCTTCCTCTACTAAACAATTTTAGATTTCCCTCCAAGTCCCAATGAAATGCATTGCAGAGTATGGTAGATACTGCCCTTAACACCGCTGGTCTTACTTCATTAAAATGCTAATTTCTTTTCACCTGTATTTATTTCCAGTAGATCTGGTGCCAAAACACTTACACTGACACTAAAGTTTGGAGGGACCACAATAGACAACATTTTTCCCAGCATTTTCTTAAACAGCAAACTCAAATAGACGACTGCAAGATATTTTCCAACTATAATTAGTTCATTTCGGACAACAAGTGGAACATTTCACACTACCTGAGCACAGAGCCAGGGAGAATTAAGCTCCTAAATGAGATTAACTATGCATTTCATATTGCTGCTCCTTTATGTCTAAATGTTTAATGAATGTTGATGAGATATGACACTGCAATTAGCTGGTTGTGGGTCTAGCTGAAAATGAGCTCCTGTAATGTTCACCTCAGCTAGTTATGGTCACCACTATAATGTTCTGCTGCAGCATGCAGCTTTTAGTCAGTGTATTTTATTCTGTCTGTTATGATGCTGAATAACAGAGTGTTTTCTGCTTTGTTATCTGGATTGCTTTGTCTGTGCCCTTTCAGAAGGAAAACATTGGTGACCTGTTGATTGTGAATGCTCAGCTGAGTCAAGCAGGGATGTACACCTGCACAGCTCAGACTGTGGTGGACAGCGCCGCAGCTTCAGCTAAACTAGTGGTTCGAGGTAAGGTGCATGCCATTTTCTCAAGACCATTGCATTTATTATTGCAGAAATGAGAAGACAAAAAAATTATAAACAGAATTGTTAAAGCATGTTGTTGATTCCAGCTCTTTCTGATATGGATGTCACATCCGTATTATTTTCATTATCATAACAATGGCTCCATTTTTTTCGGCTAGGGAAAAATATAGTGTTTCAATAGGTAAATATGATGTTGGTGAATAGTCATTTTAGAGCACTGTACAGCAATAATGACTATGCCCTCACTTTAGCACCAATTTTGCCCTAAGTAAGTAAGTTGTAGTACTCCCAGCAGGGCATGAATTTGGCCATTTTTCATTAGGCTATGAAGGCTATGGCAGCCGTGCCCTCTCAGTTCGGCAATATGCCCATCCAAAATCTATATGCCCTGGGGCCAACAGTGGCCTTGATGCCCTGCTCGCTCTGCCCCAGCTGATTTTGCTGTTTTGTCCTCTGCTTCTTTCCTGTCATACCGTTTTTAGAAAGCACCATCTTTTGTTGAGATTCTGAATTATTATTGGGCAACATCAATTACAAGCCTGTTATGAAATACAACTTTACATAAAGTCAATGTGCTTATCACTGCTTGTCAGTTTTTGTGAACTGATCATAACTTGGATGGGGAAGGGGCATTATAAAAAGTTGACATACTAGATTTAACCTTGAAATGCATGAACGGTTATGATTATTGACAAGTTAGTACTTAACATTGACAAATGAAAAAAAATTTAAGTAAAAATAAAATAATTTTAAACTCTTAAATAAATTTCATGATTTCCTTGGAATTACTGGAATTTGCTCCTCAAAAAATTGACAACACCAAGACCACATGGCCGTGACCCTAAAATGATGACATTCCAGACCTGTTCCAAGCACGTCCAGTTTTGTTTGATGTTTTAGGTCTTTAAGAGAGAAAGACATGGGTCTTGTTGAGGTGCCAAACACAGTGTGGGAGTAAGCTCTGTCCAATAAGACAAACAAAGAAAGTCACAGACATGTTAACATTATGCTTTATTAAGGACAAATGCTGGATCTGAATTGGAATAATTTATGTGAAAAACATCATAGAACCATTTTTTGTAGAACTTAATGGGAGAATTTGCATTCATTATTGGAATTGCAAAGAAAGGACCATGTGGCACTGCCGTATAGTAGGGGAAGGAAGTACACAGGTGCTATAGATAAATAACATGCTGTGAAAAGAAGGGATGATTTAAATGATTTGGATGGTGTTCATTTAAATAATTTATTCCAGTAAAAGAAGCAGGGTCATGACAGTAAAATGTGTTCAGTATCAAAAGTGAAGTACTGATTCTGATGGTTTCTTCTGGAGTGTCAGCTGTTTTATTGTAGTATAGATGGTCCATTACACCTAACTAACAGTATGATTGCTTCAACTTTGTCAATATATCACATTTTAAGAGAATAGTTACTCCAAAAAAAGTATAAAGGTATATCAAATGTAGAAAAAGTGTCACAGTTGTTTTTGCAGTATGTACAGTAGAGAGCAGCATTGGGATTGGGATCCCACGAGACCCAACACAAATTGCACGAGAGCGGGCGGTTTAAAAAGATACTGCGGGTCCCACAGTAGTGATGATAAGTTGAAGTCAACAAACGAAGTTGAAAAGAAGATAAAATGTGTTAGCGGCTGCTTCTGAGAATGTACTGCACGAGCCTGTCTTGAACCAGCAACTTACATGCAGACACACTGATGAGGAGGCTAAACCCCGTGGGCACTTGTGTTAGTCGCCAGCGTGTCTGTTAATATGAATCATTTAATTAACTAACAGTAACATATTTTTCTTGTGTCCAGGCCCCCCGGGTCCCCCTGGAGGTTTACTGGTGAAGAATGTTGCTGAGACATCAGTGGAGCTCAGGTGGAGTCGTGGCTACGATAACCACAGTCCCATAGGCAAATATGTCATCATGGGCAGATCGTCACTCTCATCAGAATGGAAGAAGATGAGGACAGGTGTGTGTGTGTGTGTGTGTGTGTGTGTGTGTGTGTGTACAACTTTAAATTGTGGAAGTAATTATGACAGTATTTAAAACATACTGCTTTAGTGCTTTTCATATGTGTGCTTTGGGAATTTGTTGATCAGAAAAAAGAACCTTATAAAGAGATTGGATATTGATGCTTCGCATATCGTTCCATGTAAATAAACACACGTCGCCTCACTATGCACCAGACCCGGTGAACATCGAGGGTAACGCGGAGTCGGCTCGTGTGATGGGACTGATGCCCTGGGTGGATTATGAATTCCAGGTTATCGCCAGCAACATCCTGGGTAGCGGAGAGCCCAGCATGCCCTCACACACCATCCGCACACAGCAAGCAGGTGAGGGGCCACAGCTGGCATCCACTCCTTGAAATCCAATGGCAAGCGGTCACAGAAAGTCCCTTCACATCTAGGTTTGCCTCGAAACATAGATATACTGTATTATTTTTAAAAATCAGTCCTCAGCTTGAAACGAGTCACTTCAGACTCTCTGGAGCCATAAAGGGCATTATATAACTTTTTCACATATGCAGTAGTCCTCGTAGGGCTAGTTCTGTCCTGGACTGCCCTCTAGACCCCATAGAGGAGGTGGGTGAGAGGAGTATGTTAACCAAGCTGACGTCTATCATGGACAACGCCTCTCACCCCCTGCATGAGACTGTGAGGTCCTTTAGCCACAGACTGCTGCACCCACAGTGCAGGAAGGAGCGTTACCGCAGGTCCTTTATTCCAGCGGCTGTCAATCTCTACAACACAGCTATGGCAAAATATAGTACTCTGTCACATCAGCACTCATCACTGTCACTCATCTCGTTTTTCCTCATACCATTAATGTGCAATTACATAATATATAATTTACATTAAACTATACTGAATATATTTTTATCCTGTGCAATCATATGTTTTTCTTTATTTTCTACTGTGTATAGTGTATATCAATTATTCTTCTTATTTTCTTCTAATTCTACTATATAGTGTTTTTTTCAATTCTATTTTTTATCTAATGTGTATTTTTCTATCTGTTGTGTGTATCTGGAGCTACAGTAACAAGTGAATTTCCCCAGTGCAGGATCAATAAAGTCTATTTTATTTATCTTATCTTATCTCCCCAACCCCTGGACACAGACTTTAATGTGTAAACTGGGTGGACTTCTATTATACGCCTACAGATCCCAAAAAACGTACAGCTGACATCCATCAGTCATTTAAATATTATTACTTCCATTCTATTAATACACATCAGTCTTCTAAATGTACCAAACAAATAGATAATAAAAGGAACCATCAGTCTGTACAGTTTTTCACATCGAGAAATCCTTTCAGTCTCAGACATTAAAAAACAAAACAATTATTTGGGTTGTTGTGAGGGAACTGAAAGCACAGTATCTTTTGAAAACATAATATGTGTTTTGCACCCTTACTACTTTCCACTGATCCACTTCTGTAGATTATATCTTGTGTATCATCTTATGTTTGTATATTTGACCCTCAGCTCCCACAGTGGCACCCAGTGGACTTGGAGGAGGCGGAGGAGACCGCAATGAACTCATTGTTACCTGGACGGTGAGTGGATGACTCCGAGTAGTGTTTGTGCGCTCTGTGTACGTATTATATTGTATATACATGTATAGCATAGGGTTGGGTGATATGGCAAAAATATTAAATCACAATTTATTTGATTCACGATCTTATCATGAATCATTTTAATGTTGGTTTTTTAGACTATTTTGCATGTTATTGGTTTATTGGAGCTCCCTGCCGTTATCCTGGCCTAAAAACCTCCAGTCCTTGAGTAGAGGTGTAAACACAGGTCCCAGTCCGGGCTGAGTGAGCTCTGACCAGTGTTGCACAGTTAACTGAGCTATTTAGGTAACGGCAGCCAACATTAGTTAGCCGCGGTTAGAGGTTACTTTAGCAACAAGGAACGCTATCTGTTCACCAGCAAACTCCATGATTGAGCCATAGAACTAAAACTGATAGAATGTGCACTGTAGCACGATACTAACGATCTCTCTGAAAAGGGAAGATCATGTAGACATTTTAATCGTTCACAATCTAATATCGCACAATGTGTAGACTATTGCCTAATCATATTTCCATAATCAAATTAATTAATTGTAGTAGTATTGCACTTCCATAAAAGTTGTGGTCTTGCAAGAAACAAATGAAAAAAGAATGGTCAAACTTGAAGCAGCAGAGGCCAGGGTATCCTAACTTTTAGTCTCTTGTATGGATCAAATTTTCTGGATCCTACACGTTCCAATATGCAACTTGATTGTGTCTTTCAGTAGTCGTCTTAAGTTGTGAGTTATCTACAGAGTTAACTGTCTAATTTGCATGTGATTATTGCATCTTAGTGTCAAGCATTGCGGTCTACCACATTGTTTTTATATACTCTATACTAGGAGTCCCTAGATTCACGTTTTCAAGTCTATGTTAAAACAATACTCATATACCCAAATAGATTTTTCTTGCTGTTATCATAAAGTGATCTCTTCCTAATGCTCTTCCAATGTAAGTGACCCACTTACATAAAATCCACAGTGCATTTATTTGCAGTTCAAAGTTGTGCTGAAGATGATATGAGCCTTCTGCAGTCGAAATGAGTCTGATCAAGTGGATGTCTTCCAGTTAGAAAGTAAGAAATTCCTTCTTTGTTTCCTCAGTCAACATTTTATTGCTGAGCAGTGGTGATGGAATAGTTATATAAAGGGGGTGTTTTGTTCTAAACTTTGGAAAATATCCTGATTTGATTTGTCTCAAACTGCTCGAATGCATTTTTCCACAAAATGAGGACTGTGGAATTTGTCCCCACTTCACTTGCATTGGAAGCGCATTACAGTAGGGAGGGTTCTCCTATGAACAGAAGGAAGGTTTACAGCAAGCAAAATCTGCATCAGTATTGATATTGCACCTGACATTTTTTTTCAAAGACAGACTTGTAGGAAAAATGTGAACCTATCCTTTAAGAAACATATGCACAAAGGGCTGAAAATGTCTGTGTGGGACAGGACTAAGCATACATATACATACAAACACACACACACACCTAACACACACACACACACATACAAGGAAGCTGTGTTTTTTTTTTTCTTTGAGGTTCACATCTTATTTCACTGCTGAACCTTCCAGCCCATGGCCAGAGAGTACCAGAATGGTGATGGCTTTGGCTACATCCTGGCATTCAGGAAGAAAGACACATCATCTTGGACAGTGGTGCGGATTCCTCACGTGGAGTCATCCCGATATGTTCACTATAATGACAGCCTGACACCATACAGTCCCTTCGAGGTGAAGATCAAAGCTTATAACCGCAGAGGAGAAGGTCCTTTCAGCCAGATTGCTGCGGTCCACTCTGCAGAGGAAGGTGAGTCAAATCCAAAAGAAGTCCTTTTGGGTTGGTGATAACGTGTTTGGACAGGCTGCCAAAATCATTTCTGTTTGGGAAATGTTTTCTCACAAATAATTTGCACTACTGCTCAGCAGCCCAACAACAACACAAGCAGAAGGACAATATAAATGTTAATGTATGATGTGGAAGGATGTCCGTAAACAGGAGGCATCTGGGAAGAGTGCTTTTAAACAAAATGAAGGCACATCAAGTGCAATATTAACCTTGACAACAGTCCATGTTTTTCAGTTCCTCAGCGATAAGAATTTTCAAATATTCCTCAATAAGCAATGCCAGGCCTGTAATCTAGTAGGTTGAGTGTTGTTCAGTCTGTCGTACATTCAAGGTTTACTGTGTTAAGCAGACTATTTATTCAGAGTGATTGCATACATTTTGCACATGTTTTAAAATTGTTTTCTTGGCAGCCGTAAATCCAGAAAATTACATTTCCATTGGGTTAACTTCAGATTAATATGAGAATCATCATTAAGAAAGAGACAAGGATTGGGTACATAGACAATTTCCATAAGATCCACTAACCCTCTGTTAACATGAATCCAAAACTTTTCAACCCTGGACACTTCCAGAACATGTAAGTTGTGTTGAGTTGTAAAAGTGTAACGGTGTAACTGGGTTTCACTTTCATCTGGAATCTTATGTAAGGCGTAGCGTATGCTCTATGGATAATAGATGTTCCACATGTTCCATGTTTTTATATTGTTGTTTATGTAGTAAAATATTTGGCGACAAATTAAAAAATCTAAGATTCAATAAGGCTAGCAGAAAGGTTAACTGTCTCCAGCTGCAGTATCTGCTGTCACCACTAGAGGGCAACCACTACTCTTAGTAGTGAGGTGACCGCAGTCAGTCACTTATTAATTCACTAATAGTAATGACAGTGTTCATCATGAAGCATGTTGCATATTCTGACCTCTCACTGACTCCCCACAGAGCCAACAGTGGGACCGTCAAACATCAATGCTACGGCACTGACCGCCTTCGAGATCCAGGTTTCATGGGAGCCCGTCCAGCAGCTCAGCGCTAATGGAATCCTTAGAGGATACGAGGTGATGGTATAGGATTTAAAAAAGTGATGCAGCTAAATTCAGAGGGTCTAAAGATCCCTGGATGAAGTAATATATTGATCAATCTGTTTAACAAAGTACAGAGAAATGTGATATTTATAGGTCATACGTTTCCTGTGTAAATATCATCTATTTAAATCATGTCTAGAAACACAATGTTCTCCCTCAGCAGCTACTTGCTATACCACAAGCAGGGTAAGACAGTGTTATTCTTTGAGCTGACAAAGGGAAAACCTCAAACTTTGGTCTCATGAGGTCCTCATGGTATGTAGGAGAGGTTTATTCATACAGATTCCTCTGACCTGCCGTTACATATCTGATGATTTTATTAGCTGTTCTTAGTCCACAAACTGACATAGTTAAAGTTGACAATATCAACTTTGATTGTATTAATCCCCACGATCATAACAAATATATTAGTTTATTAGTGCCATGATGGCTGATATCAGCATGCTCTACATGTCTAGTGCGTGTTGGTAAAGTTGAGATAATCAGTTTCATTTCCCTTATTGATAAAGATGGCTGGCCTCATCCCCACCACCCTGTATGCAGGATAAGCGGTTGATGATGATGGATGGCCTCATAAGCCACTACAACCTATAGACAGACACACACACACACACACACACACACACCCCAAAGAATATTCATGTATTTACTGCATCCACTGCTCTAAATATGAGGAGATTTCTGAATGGGTATTTCATCTTAAAGCTGAGTTATAATCTGGCGCTGCAACCTGTTTAGGTTAGGTTTGTAATTGTCTTTTTGACATCATGTGTGTCCTCAGATCCGGTACTGGCGGCAGCATGAACGGGAAGCGGCAGCAGACCGAGTGCGGACAGCAGGACTGGAAACCACAGCCAGAGTGTCTGGACTTCGGCCCAGCACTCGATACCACATTGCTGTTCTGGCATACAACAGCGCTGGCACCGGGCCGCCCTCACCACGCACCACCGTCACCACCAGGAAACCACGTATGGATGGAGCGCTCACACACATATACACTGTCACACACATATGTGGAAGTTTATTAAGAACAAAACTACTCAGTGAGCAAACAAAAATCTGCAAGCAAGATTTGTGAGCATAAAGGTACAGATTTTTTAAATTGGTTTGCTTTTAGTTCAGCAACAGTAAGGGGAAGAGTCTGAACATTTGAGAATGTGAGACAGCGCTTGTCAAAAGTCCAACAGGATTACAGGATCAGTTTAATAAGGGTGTTTTCATACCTTACCTTAACCATACTAAGACCACTTTAAAAGGTGTGTCTTCTTCTAACTGGACAGAGTGGTTTGGTTTGTTTGTGATGTGAAAGTAAAGCAGACTAACTACAAGACTGTATGACTGTAGATATGTAACTTTAAACTCAAACTCAGCAAAACTGCTATTAAATCCATCTGCTGGTTGTTATCAGAAAGCGATCAGTATAAGCATTGTATATACAGATCATTAGGTAATCATATTTTAACTTTTGCTTATCGCGGTTATATAATTGTTATGCTGTACCTGATAAAAGCTAGTTCATAATATACACATTTATAACAGCTAGCTCAAACCATATACAGAGAACATAAACAGCATATTGAGATATGTACATTAAAGTTTTATTTCTTCTTTTTTTGATACTCTTTTGACTATTTTTTTTTTTCTACACCAACAATCTTTTATTTTATTTTCATTTTTTGAAACGTAACTGTTTCCTTTACAGCTCCTAATCGTCGTCCAGGCAACGTGTCATGGAAGACTGACAGCTCATCTGTAACAGTGAGGTGGGACCACGTGAAGGCCTTGCACAATGAGTCAGCTGTACTGGGCTACAAAGTAAGTCAGCTGTCTAGCTAAAAACAGGTGTATATGTGTTTGTCTGCATGTTTGTCCGTATCATTCCCTTACAAGGTTCTCAGATAGTTTACAAAAGTGTTGTTTTAAGTCAGTGACACTTCTCACAGCTGTGAGACTTGACCTACTTGAAACTTGACTTTTATCTTGGAGCCAGTACCAGGCAAGCCTTGAATATTTTATTATTAGGTCTATTATTAAGACTAGGCCTCAACTATTTAAAAATCACTACTCACTTGATTTGGACTTGTCCCAAATGACTTAAACACCTCTGGTATGTTATGTATGGACACATAAACACTAGCACAGATACATTAAAAACAGGAACAATCAGATTGAAGATCTTTTGATTTTGAAAATCAAATGAATTTCATTTTTGAAGACTATGTGTCGTGATATCACTAAGAATGTACAAACAAATGTAGCTGTCAAGATAATATGATGATCATGTTAAGAGGCTAAATAATAATTATCCTAATAGGGCTGGACGATATGGCCAAAAATGTTATCACGATAAAAAGTTTCATATCTTTCGATATCGATAATTATCACCTCGTTACATCTGATTTTTTTTTTTATATTGTTATTGAAAAAAGTATATCGTGATAATTAGTCATTGTTTTATTGTCCAGCCCTAAACCCTCATATAGCTTTGACATGAGTAGACATAATGCTGGCTGATGTTTTGCTTTTGCTATGTCAGATCATGATACTTGTAACCTCCTCTGCATGTGAGATATGAGAAGCAATAAAAAGGCTATATAACAAAATCAAAGAACATGTTTATAAGCCTTGTACCAGCTCATGCATGGGGAAAATATCAAAAGTCATCAAAAGATAACTGCTTGAACAATGGTCCTTTGATTTCAACACAAACAATGACATTGCAGTAAACAAATTGGTAAAATAACTGATCTGATGCTGTAAAAACCATGTAAATTTGCCTTTTATGTTGCAATTTTGAGGTCTGAACTAATATGTAGACCTGCTGTGTTCTGTGTGTCAGGTTCTGTACAAACATGAGGGCCAGGCAGCGCTAAAGGTTCTGGACAAGGCAAAGACGTCGGTGAGCCTGCCGCTGCCAAAAGACAACGGTTACGTTGTGCTGGAGATTCGGTCCTGGGGTGAGGGCGGGGATGGGCCAGCACACGAGATTATTGTGTCCCGGGACTCAGGTGAGACACTAAGAAACACACACCAAAGCTTTGTCTGAGTGACAGGGATGTTATGTAATAAGCAGAGAGTGAAGTAGTCACTGATGACAGAGCTTTAGAGATCTTTAGGAAACATTCAACAACACAATCAAACACCTACAGAACTCCATTCCTCTCAGGCTAGGATGGCCTATATTTTACATCCACGTCACTTGTAGCCGAGACAGGTTCAGCTCTGGCACCAACACATGCAAACAGTATGTTTATCATCATTAGCTGATGGATCATGTGGAAGAAAATACTTACTACGTATACTTACTATATACTACGCAAAAGACTTAAGATAGTGGTCTGCTCTGCTAGTTATGTTTAAATTACATTAGAAACAACACTGTGTTGTAAAATGATAAATAAATCTACCTTGCACTGTGTAAATACATACATATACAGCAGGAATAATGCAGTTTTGAAGCTCTGTTTTGAATACTGGTTTAGAAAGTGAGAATTGAATGACAGAAATCTGAAATGGATGTATTATGGTCACGCTGTACTTAAGGAGTGGGCAATATAAATAAAATATTATAACATCGGCCTGTGGGTTGAGTCACTGACCATGAACTGCAATTTTCCTACTTGACATCTGGCCAGGGACCGTCTCTCTCTCCCTTCATTACTACCTATTACAGGCATAAAATTGATATGTTGTATATGGTGATATAATAAATTACCAATGGAAAATCATTTGAGGAACTAGATAAAATAACCAAGCATGTATCTCTGTTTTCAATTATTTCAGCTATACTTGACTAAAGCTATTTTATTCCTGTAAATCCAACAGAGATTATCAAAATCACCCAAATCCGCCATCTGTAAAAATATTACTGAAGTGATCAATAAGAGAAGCATCTACCATGTGACCCCTGAGGGACTCCATACATTAACCTGTATTTTTGTTTGCTTTGTCTGATGATACTATGATCATAAAGTAATGATTTAATCTGCAATTTAGCAGTTTGGTAATTATGAGCCACCATCAGATTTCATACACGATCTGTTGTCTGACAGCGGTCTAGCAATCTGTGCACATGGGTTTAATTACCACCCGATCAAACAGATCAGTAATTTTTCCTAATGAACAGGAGAACAAGAATGCAGTCTTTTTAATCTGCGCATTGAAAAGTAAAATCGAATGACGACTCAATGAGACCATTGATGAAAAAATTAAAAGATGATGTAGAATGTGAGTAGGGTGATGATAACGGGATGACCTCTAATAATACTGTTAGATGTAAGTTATAGGCAGTGCTTTAAGAAAAGTATGTCTATTATTCATCCAAGGCCATGTTATCTTAGCGATATGAACATTAGGCTATCTATTATGTTGATCATAAACATGTCAGCAGTATCTAAAACAAATATAGGGCTGTGAGAGTTATATGGTTTTGTATGGTGCGATATGTAAGGTCTTTGGTCATGAAGGAAAGGTTAAAAGATTAAAGCCAATATGTAAGGTGTGGAGAAAGTAACAGCAGATTTTTTTTCTTGATTTGAAAGGTCCATTTCCATTTTTCCAACACCTCTGCTTCCATAAAACAGAGGGACCTCATGCAGTGTCTGTACTTATAGATTACCTTATGGAGATCACCCTCATTCACAGTGCATTGAAGGGGTGCAGTAAACAGTACTGTATTTATGGTATGTAATGCACAAGACATTTTCCATTGATGTGGTCATGAAGTATTTTCCACTTGCTACAGCCTAAAGTGTTCTAGTTTTGTTAAAAAAATGAAAAAAATGCCTGTAGTCAGGAGACTACTGGCCAAACATGTGGGGAATCATTGAAACATTGTCACATATAGGGATGGGCATCTTTTGAAAGATAATATGATACCAAAGTTTTGGTAGAAACACCAGAACTTATTTTTTTATTTAACTAAGTTTATTAAATCTTGTCCAAACATAAGCACTGTCTTCATCTGTTCCAATCTGGAACGATCTTATGAGATAGAAAACATTTGATGCCACCTTTAGCTACATTTTTTGATACTATGGACATACCTGGAATTATTTCTGTTGGAGTTGTTACATACTGTCTCTTTCTCTGTCTCACAGGAACTGGTATGATGGTGCAGAACAAGGCCTCCTTCACACTGCCCAGTAACCCTTTCTACCTGATCGCTAGCTTGGTGCTACTCACTCTTGTGTCGTCGCCAGGCCTGTGATCTCAGCCACTCGGTGGACTTTTTACTTGTAATGGCTTGAAACTAAAGCCCCTGTGTCTCGGTCTGTGTTTTGGGTCAGGGTGGGTCTCAGTGGTTGGGGAAGGTTGTAGCACTGCAGGGATTAGAAGGGTGGGGGACGAAGGAGGGGTTTTGGTTTTCTTTTTTTTTATTGTATATATATATAAAACAAAGAAAGTCTTTTTCATTTTTTTTAAACTTCAGGTGGGTTGAAAGGGGTGGGGGAGCAGAGCAGTCCTGTCTGGTTGTGTATTTGTGCACCACTGTCAGTAAAACCATGCCTTATGGGGACCATCACATCTGTGGCTGACGCATCTCATACCTGCGTCCTCCAAACTGTAGCTGGCGAGACACAGACTTCAGGTGTAAATTATTCATAGAATCAGTGTATATAACTTGTGTACATGTGATGGGTGTCTGCCTGTTCGCACTGAGAGCAGCTTGACTGATAAGTCTCAGTTGTGGGTGGTGTGAGAGCTGTAAAGATCCGCATCTAAAATATTAAGAACATCTTCATGTTTTTCCTGTCATAATTATATGGTCAGAGCTCCCCATACCCTGAAAAACCTGCAGTTTTTTAATGCAGCTTTTCAGTATTGACTCAGTTAGTATTTAAATTAAAATAGGACGGCTCCATAGACTTACTTTCATTTCCAAAGTTGAAACCAGTTGTCAGACTTCAAGTTTAAGTTCAGGATATCTGGAGCCTGGTCCGTTCCACAAAAAGAAACATTATCAGTCTAAATGTCTTTGACAATGTCCTGGAAATGTGTATAATGTACATTGATAATGTACACATCAAAATATTTACAGTGTTTACATCATGAAAGTCAAACATTTCAGTTTGATATCAATCAATAGGATGCAATTTAATACTTTATTCCCTAAAAGCAAGATCATCTGAATATAGTTATAGGATGAATATCATAAATACATCTTACTAAGAAGATTTGGACACATGTTACCATAGTGATAAACATGTTAGACACATGCCATTGTATCAGGATACATTATTACCCTGGCTCCCTCAATTCTCCCAAAAAGCAGCATCACATTTTCTCCCTGGACTGGTAGATCCCCGCTACTGTGCCTTGACTACATTGTTCCTTTTCTTCATTTTCTCCTTCTTTACTTTGTAATGCATGGCTTCAAATCCAAAACATTTGTAAAGTTGCATCCACACTTTCTTGTCTACATTAGCCAGCCTGATAACCCAAATATTACTCACACAGGATTTATGTTTCCTGTTTCTTTTCTCTGAAAACACACATTTTGAGCATCTACCCAACTGAGCTTGTTTGACTTGCTGGTCGTGTTGCTCACAGTTTGAACGCAGTCACTCGCTGAAGCACTGAAGAACTTTTTATTGTTGATTTTTAGCTGTGTCTTTATGCTTGTTTGTGTCTCTGCTGTAATTATAACTACAGAAATATGTCACTGTTCCAAATTGATGTTTATATTTTCTATTGTTTATGGCTGATCAGGGGGAAGTATTTTATTGATTGTTTACATTTGTGGTGCCTACATTGTTTGAATAATTCCAACAACAATGTAAAAAATGCTTTTGTTTAGTGTTTATTGGTTTTAGTGCAGCTGCTTTTGTGCTAGTAGGTAGATCTAAAATGCCCGGGGCAGCAGGGCTAAATCACTGGTAGAGATGAAAGAGTTGGTCACCATGGTTATCAGAGAGTACAGTTAACAGTGTCATATATCGTCCTCACTGTAATCCTGTCAGCAGCTATCAGCTCTTATGTAACATGTCTGGCTCGTTGCAGTTCACAGGAAGAATGTCGGCAGTATTGGTTTGTCCACAGTTATCCTGTCCAGGTGAGGTCTGGTCAGCATGTCAGACAGACATCAAGTGCTTACAATTTGTGTCTTTTGTTGTCGTTGCCTTACTTTTTTGGTTGATTAGCTTAATAATTATCTGACTGCCTGTTTAAAGTGTAACTGATGCTTTGAGTTTAGATTGTTGTCCAATAGTCACTAAAAGGTGTGATACATGGTTTTGGTTTTCTATAACTGCCAACACAAAACTAAAAAAAGTAATTATTTTATGTTCTATAATAAGTGTATTTTAGTGGCTATTATCTCAATATATTCTAAATCTTAACAAAATACATTGTAGAAGTTCATTTCTTGACCCTGGAAACAATAATTAGATTTTTTTTTTTTTCAAGCAGCCAAAACATCCGAACATCATTAAAAAAAAAACTCATTTCAGGCTAGTAGTATGTTGTAGTTTTCAGTTGTCTGTAAATTAGCTGCTAGATGGCCGCCATGTTTCCAAGTCACCTGCTTCTTAGACTAGTTCAAAGCCAAAGCATCAGAGGTTGGTTAATCACATGAGAAACGCCAGGATCCTTTAGATACTGGTTAATCTGTTTGTTTGTTTTTCAGGTCTGCATACATGTGCTGTGACAGTGTATTAGGGCCATTGTTCATAAAAAAACAATAACAACAAATGAAGGGGGTAATGTTCCAAGAACAAAATTTGAATTTCCAAGATAAAGTTGTACATTTACGAGAAAAAAACTCTGAAATTCTCAGAGATTAAAGTGGGACATTTTTTTCATTTCATTAATAAAACAATCGAAGAGTGCAGGCATAAGAGAGGAGGCGGAGCTTTCAGACAGTTAGGTAGATATGAGGGACTGCAACAAAGCCACTTAAAAGCATGTGTCACATCTTACTCATATAGAAATGTCTGCAGTTCTTCCCCAATTGTTATGCTTTTGGTCTTTAAACAGAAGGAAGTATCTTATAATACTGGTTGCTGAAAGTTTTGACTTATTCTTATTAACATCTGCTTATCCGGCTTTTAATAGAGTACTAATAACCACACGTTTGCACATGCATGTGAATTTTTTTCTCGTAAATGAGTGACTTTAATAAATGTTTTTCTCTGAATATTACCCCTGTATTTTTTGTACGTACAATGGAAGATTTGAATTGAAGGTTCTCTGGATAGAAGATCCAAATGAACTCTTCTTCTTTATTGTTGTTGTTGTTGTTGTTGTATTGTATTTAAACATTTTCATGGTCTGGATTAACCAAAACAGTTTTATGTTACTTCAGTATTACATTTTATACTTTGCAAGTGGTTGAATGATAAGCCTCTTGATTGTACAAAGATGATCTTATTTTTGTTAGACAAAAGTAATTTTTTTTTATGCGCTTCATACTTGACACCAAAATGTTTACTTTATCATTTTATTGACGTTAGTTTGGCTGTAGAAAAAACAAGTTCTCCCTGAATTTCACTTTGTGGAATATTAGCTGTAGACACATTATTATTATAATTGCTCACATGTTGTTTGATTAGTAAAAAATTAGGTTGAAGTTTGGTTAGACCAATATACCAGTGTACTCATATTTGGAGCCGTCAAATCTCAGCTGTGGTGTCAGCATGGTCTACCTCCAGGCCTACAATTTTTTAGATATAATGTCCCATAATAGTTTAAATACTGATTGTGGGTTTGGTGTCAGTTTCAGAGCTGACTTATAGTAGTGTCGGCCTTCAAAAACATTTGTTCCAAACCTGATTTTAAATCACCATCACTGTCTTTTGCTCAGAAAGGTTGAGTTTCACACAATTGCTTCATCTCTGCACTAGTCCAGAAGCTGGAAATTTTCAGAACCATTGAACAATGTCCTGGTTTGTGTTTTTGTGCTTTACAAAGTAAAAAGTGTTTTCCCAATGCCTTTAGTATTCATTGAAGAGCCATAATGTCATTTCACCATGTCTGGTGCCCAGTCTCTGAATGTTCTGGTTTTGGTTCATTGATCTGGACTCTGCCGGCACACAGATTTCATCCCTCACTTAAGGTGGTAACAGCGAGTCTGTGTTCATATGGCTGGACTGAATGCACTGGATCAATTGCCTTTGGGCCTTTTCAAAATTGTGATTGAATGAAAATGTAAGGGAGGGGTGCTACTTGTAAATATGATTTAAATAAAAACCTTGGGATTGTATTTCAGCAAGTGTGCATTTACTACATTCACAATCCTGTATATTGAATGACTACCCACATAGACCACAGTAGTTACACATTTTGGTGTGAGGGCAGTGAGAGAAGAAGCAGTTTGAGCACTTTCACAGTCTGATTTCTCTGGCTACTGTCAAAAGATCCATTATAGTCTGTAGCTTGCTTATTTGAATAAGACTGTAGTAGTATTATACATGTTTTGGCTAAAACTCGGGTCTTGTCTCAAACTCATATACAAGAACAAAATTGAACTTAACTGCAGAACAGACATCATGTGGAGTAATTATAACTAAAGTTCAGGAACTAGACCACACCTCCCTGTCGCATTATTCCAGCCACCTGTACTTCACTCATTCCATCCACCTGTGCCTCTCTAATCCAATCACCTGCACATGTACTGTATATACTATATATAAACCCGTCCAACCCCTTTCTCTCTCAGTTCTCACGACCGTTTGTCTAGTCCGACACACAAAAAAGTTAATTATAACTTTTGTTCACCTTAATATGCATCACAAACTGGTTCTCAGCCTCTCGGACTGCCACAGCCAGCCGTGGAGTTCCATGTCATGGACCCACTTCATTTCCTCCTGTCCTTTCCCTGTTCCCCTCCCTCTCCAGCGCCCCACCTCTACATTCCCCTGCATTTTCCGTTCCTACAGTAACCCCTGGTCTTCCCGCTACACCCATCTTCAATCCCACGACCACCAGCAATTTCACTTTTGCCTCTGCCATTCCCCCGTCCTCCCACTTTTAGTCGTATGCCCCTCTCCCTCCTCCTTTCACCTTCTGTTAGACAACAAATCCTCTCAGGTACTTACCTCAACCTCGTACTTCTTCCCCAGCCATTCATCAGCACCACCACCAGCCCCAGGGAGCTCTTAACACCCCATGGGACGACCCACTTATACGTCCCCCACCTTCACGTTCTAGAGAAATCACAGCTGTAGAATTTGCCTTAGATTTTTCCTTTTATCACCATACCATCTGTTCAGTCTTCCCCAACCGCAGGGCCAAGTTGGACGACTACCTCTCCATCATCTTGGATTTGGCTCTGCGTTTCAGGTTTTTTTTCCCACATATCTTGTCCTATTTCCATCCCAGGCCACAGGGCAATTTAATAAGGGCACCTACTGGGGCACCCTTGTCTCAGAACTTTACTGCAGAGTATTCACAGCATGCTCCTCCTTGGCTTGCAACCTGCAGGGCGCCCCTTCTCCTCCAGCCACCAGCTGTGTCATTGCTACTCCTTTACCCCAAGCCTCCATCTCCTATTATCCCCAAACCACTAACCCTCCTACCAAGAAAACATTGCACCCCATAACCCCACCCAGCGCAGTTTCTGACCATGCAGGAAACTCAAAACACTGATCTCATCCATGCCCTAAAATCCACCAGTTCCCCATCCACACTTTCACTTCCAGTTTCCATCCAGGCATCGAGGTTATCCCAGATCCACTATAGCTTCCAGTCCGTCCTCGCCAAGCCTCTACAGTGGCCAAGCCCCCCCTTCCCCAATTCACCTCACCAACCATACCAGCATCACAACCAGAACTTAGCAAAGACCATCTCCCCCCCACGTCTCAGTACAGATATCATGCACCATGCAACAAGCTCACACGACACCAACCTCAAACATCTTGTCTCTCTCTTTTTGTCAACATTGAGGACGCATCCATCTTGTTTGAATGAACTTCTTTCAGTGTGAGCTCCACGTTGTGGTCTCTCAGTTGATCTGTACAGTGTGAGCATTAAAATTGCAGGTTTTGGCTGAGCAGAAAGGCCGACTAACACGTGTCTTAGAACACCCAGGGCACATGTCCGTCCTTATCCAACCATCTGCCCTGATACCAAGGTTTTGTTTTCACCAGGAAACAAAACCAGATTCCCAGCAGGAAGATGCAAGCTCTATTTCAGGTTTCAGGTACATTGAGGCTGTCTACATCTATCACCTATTTACCACCCCTACTATTTCATTAACACTTATCATTATTTCCTAATATTAATTCATGCACACTTATCATTGAATTGAACTGAAAGCTCATTTCAAATCTTGTCTGATTCTTTCATTGCTTTGCCCAGTGTTACCTGGAAGTGGGGTTATTTGGCAATCAGACTTAAAGCCCTTATCAGCTGCACTTTGACACCAGCTATTAGTCATTAATGAGTCAAATATAAATCTGACCCAAGTTCCCTGAGCTCTGGACTCTGCTTCTGTTCCTCTTGAAGAAAGGTAATGAGATTAACACCATTTTTGGAATTGTGTCATATACAGCTAGCATTTTGCTACAAGTTGATTCATAAAATGGTTACATTCCATTGTACTACAATTATTAGAAGATAAGAATTATTTTCATTATTGACTAACTCAAGGATTATTGTTTTGAATAATCAAAACGTCGTTTACCATATAAAATGTTAAAGAATAGTATGAAATGTTCATCAAACAGCATCTGACTGAAGTTATGTCTTTAGAACAGCTTATTCTGTCTCAGAAAAAAAAAAAGCCATTTCATTTACTATAATATGAAATGCAGAAAAAAATCATCACTTAACGCACAATTGTTTCAGCTGGAGTTTTTCATACGTTTTATCTCATCTTTTAGAGGTTCACTGCTGCAGCAGCAAATTGGTTGGATCTCCAGAGAACACAATGGCGAGACTCCTCTCAGGTAAATACCATTCACTCTTAAATTCAGTATTTCTATATACCAGATGAGTGTGTGTGTGTATGTGTGGGTGTAAAAAACATACATTTATTATTCATTTTATCATTTAGCTAGCCATTTTGGAAGGAAATATATCAGTTAGCGTATTTTGGTACCATTATTATTCTTATTTATCTCATGTTTCACAAATTTCAAATGTATTCAGGCTAATTTTAGTATCTAAAGTAATATCCTATATTCAAATCTTACAGAAATGATATTGAGAAATAAATTGCTTAAATTGGTAACTACATAGAAAACATACAGTTTTTGCACTCACAAAAAAAGATATTGTATTAATTGGATGTTGTTTACCAGGTGAATATATGCAGTTTTTCTTGCATCAGTTTTATTTGTAGTTGGTTGTTCTTTTGCACACTACGTCCCCTGTTATGTTTTTCTTTGCAGCTCTGGGCGTTCTGCTCGTTCTGCATGTCGGTAAGCATTAGTTGTGAACAACAACAGGCAGTGGCTCTTCTTCACACTAATATGATCAATGTGTCAGAACAAACGCAGGAGCTCTTAAAAGTCTCATCGCTGATGTCCTACTGTCTTCCCTCAGCCTCATCCGCTAAACTGGTGTGCCACATGACCAACTGGGCCCAGTACAGACCCAGCAGTGCGAAATTCACCCCAGACAACATCGACCCCTTCCTGTGCACACACGTCATCTACGCTCTGGCAACCATCAACAGCTTCAACCAGATCCACCCCATCGAGTGGAACGATGAGCAGCAGTACAGCAGGCTCAACAACCTCAGGAATGTGTGAGTTAACGCAGTCTGTACACTCAACCATTATGGACG